CTCATTAAGGATATCAGACATTTGCTCCAACATCAATTTCAGCTTCCTGAAAACTCTCAGAGAAAGCTCTTCGCTTCCCTTCTCTCACAGTGGAACTCGTCTCCTACAACAAAGCAGTTCTCTAAACGCTGTCAAGAACACAATCCATCTATGAGCAACCACTGGTCACACCTTGAGGCTATGACAACCTTCTCCTGCTGCTGAGCGCCGTTAAGTTGGAGACCTTCCTTTCTATCTACATGTATTCTGTTCATGTTCCTCTGTACAACAGTGTTTGTCTGGTATAATCATCACACTGAATAACATATTTATTTTGCTTCAAGTGTATTTATGACCCAACCTAAAAGCTCATAATTTCCAAGAACACTTTCCTTCACAGTGCCAGAAGATCTAGCCTCATAAATAGAAATTTGGCAGGTGGCAGGGCATTTAAAAGCCATGAGTTTGTACTGGGGATTACACCAGCTGAATTCCACTACTTTCATTAGCTCCCAAATATATATGGCATGATTAGAGAAATCCAGTCCACTAAATTTACTTCTTTCTAGGTGACTAAACACTGGTTTAGGACACCCTTCCTTTGGATTCTGCACTTAAAGGTTTGAACCTACACAGAATCTATAAATAAACAATCCATTATTATTTAGCAGGTACTTCTCTCTATATAATCTGCACAATTCTTAACACAATTTTAACCTGTCTTTTCATTTTATGACTCTTCCCTCTAGCTTGTTTTCAATCTTATCCATTTTCAGCCCAAGTACCTTCAGAAAACAACCTATCACCCGCTGTGAGTACAAGTATGTGTATTTGTTAGGTTCTTTCCTTTGTGTTCGTGATTCTTCCAGCACACCTGCAAGACCCCAAATTCTGGGTCCAATGTCAAATTTTACCCAAATCTGAAGGAAGGAGAGGAATCGCAGCAATTTCAAAGCATGCTAACACCCCACAGACACCCCCCCAACCCCATGATCTGGCAGCATTGCAGTTGACAGATGTGCACGTAGATAGAAGGTGAAACCCACTCCAGACACACTCCTTGCTACAGCAGTCCCACCGTTTCTCCTCCATACATTTTCTCTCTCCAGTTGCCTCTCAGTCTTTTATTTTTCTCACCCTACACAACTCAGACGCCACGGACACCCCCCCAACCCCATGATCTGGCAGCATTACAGTTGACAGATGTGCACATAGATAGAAGGTGAAACCCACTCCAGACACACTCCCCGCTACAGCAGTCCCACCCTTTCTGATCCTCCACACATTTTCTCTCTCCAGCTGCCTCTCAGTCTTTTATTTTTCTCACCCTACACAACTCATCTGAGGATGCACTTACAAATACCAGTGCTTTCAAAGCTCCTGTTTGATATGCTAGAAAAGACAGCAAGCTTCTGAAAAACATCATTAACAGTGGTAGCAGGCAGACAAGAGTACTGGGAAAACCAACGCTGCTCTCAGTCAGGGCTGTCGCAGCTCCCCCCCTCCTCATCCTCTGTCACTCACTCTTTTTCCCTGCACCAGCTCTGGTGTTCACACAACCATTTCAAGAAGTGGACACACTGAAAAACAGCCCTGGTAAAAAGAACGCTTAAGATCAGCCCAAACCAGCAACTCTTTTGGTACACAGAACGACCGTGTTCTGATACATTACAATCTATGCCACAGATCAGACACTCCTTAAGATGCCCCACAGCAGGTAAAGCTCCAGCTGGAATCTGCAGTTAACCTGCAAGATGCAAAATCCCAGCAAAACAAGCTTCATTCCTTGCAGCTCTTGTAATTCCCCACTGGATTTTCTGATGTTTTGCCTCCTTAATAGTTCCTCTATCTTATTCAAAACCTACTTTCACAGTCACACCCAAGTTTGGCTTGTTCTTATTCTTTAATCCAGAGATGTACAAATCTGTACACTTTTCAAGAGACTAAAACATTATGCAATATATGAAAGAAAGATGCTAAACTGCATGAAACACTGTAAAACGTTTTGGAGTAACAAAGCATGAAAACGCTCCGACTAGTAGAAATTTTAAAATATTTAAGTACTTTAAATTCAACAGGTGGTACTTATTTCTTTGAAGCTTCACTCAGTTCCAAAATACAATGATGTCTCTTGCTCACCAACTTACAGGTTTTGACCTCAAATGTCCCTTATATTTCCAGCGACTGAGTTAATTCAACCAAAAGGTTATTAATCTATTTACAGTATATTCTAAGTAATTACATATATGATAAATTTATATATAGGAAACAGATACCAAAAAAGTCTAATTTTCAAGCATTATTTTTTAAAGTGATCAAACTAGACAAATCTGAAATCCAAGGTTTTATACTCAACAGTCCTACAATACAGTTGAGTAGAAGTAAAAAATACATATAATCTTTGTTTACAGGGGTCAACTATATGATCTTAATTATTCTATCTATGTCCTCCGAATACAGCAGATAAACTATCTTCTGTAATATTATTCCGAAAAAATGAGGACTGCAGTAAACTGTTAAGACAAGGACATTTCTGGAAGTATCTTCCAACACGCTTAGGAGATCAGTCATAATATTTACATATACTCAAGCACTTTAAAATCTCAAGTTGTATTAACCAGCTGTCATCTTAGTGTCAAACTCTGGTCATTTTAATGTGAAATAAGGGTCAGCGCATGATTTTAGCTATTAGTAAAACATCTCTTAGCTACTGAACCTCCCTCTGTTAAACTATAAATGTCAGTTTCCCACAGCAAGGCTCTTCTTGAGCTTCCTCTACGCTGCATTTTATTCAGAATAAAATATATGCATTAAAGAAGACAAAATACACTACATCCAGAAAAAAAATATTTAGATGCTAACCAGACAGTTGACCCAACTGTATATAATGAAGACATTTCCACGAAGTAGTACAAACCT